AAGGGAGGTCAGGGGTTTTTGGGGGGGGGAGAAGGTAGGCAGAAGAACCCACCTTTGTTGCCGACACGGAAATGGCCTCAAATTTCTCCATGTACTCGTCCAGGTGCAGTTTGAGAACTTTGCGCAGCGTCGTTCCGGCGTCAGGCGTGAGGTCAAAGCCGGCGAGTTTGGACATGCCGTCCCAGTGTCGCTTTCTGAGCCCCGGGTTACACATGATGCCAATGGTGGGGATCACTTCCTGGAGGTGGAGAGAAGATAAGGTGAGATTATATTTCTTCTTTTGAGAAAAGATAAGATAAAATGTTTCTTCATTTGTATGCCCGAGTGATTTATTAGAGCAGAGAGAAGATACGATTATGTTTCTTTATTTGAGAAAAGATAATATTATGTTTCTTTATTTGAGAAAAGATAAGATTATGTTTCTTCATTTGAGAAAAGATAATATGTTTTTTTCATTTGAGATAAGATAAAATTATGTTTCTTCATTTGAGATAAGATAAGACTATGTTTCTTCATTTGAGATAAGATAAGATTATGTTTCTTCATTTGAGATAAGATAAGATTATGTTTCTTCATTTGAGATATTATAACATTATGTTTCTTCCTTTGTATGTCCGAGTAATTAAGTGAAGCAGAAAAACATAATATCGAATAATGCCTTTTTTCAGGGGTGGGGGGGGCTTGTTTTACAGCCCCATCAACTAAGATTTTAAGAGGCGGGCTGCTTTGACTCAGCCTGTCAGAGACAACACAGACTGAGAGGGATACAACTCCCAGCCACACAGATACACATACTCAATATTTCATTTTTTTCAAGCTCTCCACATGAATAGAGAAGGTATTCTCCTCGTAGATAGATAGGGAAACTCAATTTTTTTTTTCAAGTTCTCCCCGTGGGATGCGAACTCACATCTACTGCATGTGACAGCGAAGCAGCAAAGTGATATACACTGTTATCATACCTTCAAGTCTGAGATAGAGTTATTCTGATAATATATTTTCATCAATATTATTATATCATTATTTTTTTAAAGCTGAAGTAAAGAGAAGCACATTAGCACAATAACAACCATTAACATTACTATATATATTACAATTATTAATATTATTACCTTAGCCTCAGCGATACAGTTGTCATATTATTATCATATTATTGTTATTATTATCATTATCATTATCAATATTATTACTATTATCACTATCATTATTTTTACTATAATATGTTATCATTATCATAATTATTATTACTAATATCATCATCATTTTTTTTACTACTTAATATTATCATTATTATTACTACATATTATCATTATCATTGTCATTAATAGTATCAGTATCATTATTTTACTACAAATCATCATTATCATTACTATACGACATTATCATCACTATGACCTTGAAGTCGGCGACCGAGTCAATCTGGTGGTTGATGACCGTCATAATCTCCGGCACTTTGAACGGCGCCAGTTCCTGTACGGTGGGCTCTTTCCCTGACTGCAAGTCCTGGCGGATCTGTTTCTTGATCTCACGGTCTTTCTCATCCCAGTCCATCTGGAAACGGAAAAAATTATTGTTTTTTTTATATAGTTTATTTTTATGCCCCCATTGACATAGTTTAGATCATTTTTATGATGATGATCATCATCATCTTATCATCATCTTATCATCATCATCATCAACTAAACAATTCCCCTTTCTCTTGTTGTGTTTTTCTTGTTTCTTTTTTCTTGAAACATAATAATTTGCACCATGTCAATACATTTTTACGTAACCAACAAATATTGGCACCAAAATCAGGACACGGGACAAAGAAAATAATAAAATTAAAAAATAAAGGATCATTTTTATGAGCCTGTCAACACTGTCTAAATCATTCATAAGGTTTGTGTCTTTGACCCTGCCTGTAGGGCCAGCCCGGACTGAGAGAGATACAACGTCCCATCAGAAAGACTGAGATGCACACAAAACATTCTTCCTATCTGGGTGTCAAACTCGCCTCTCCTGAGTGCAACAACAAAACGCCAAACTGATCCACCGCAGCTCTTGGAACTGGAACAGAAAATCCTTGAAGGTAAGATCCTCTATCAAAGAATGCCAGGCAGACTTTTCTTGCTTGTTAACCCTCCTTTTGTGGAAGGTGGAAGGGAGGGGGTAATCATAATTACTAGAAGTGCCAGCTGTCTATGAAAAAAAATCCTGAATATTTCATTTTAGATTCCGTGGTAGTGCACACATCAGGACACATAATTCATGGGTTATATTGACTACTTAACCTCTATCAAGAATATTTTTATATAATCAGCCTAACATAAGGCAACATGCAGCCGGCCAATTTCAGAAATCCAGATTTGTGGATTTTTCTTTTTTACAATTGAAACAAAAATACAGATTTCAATTTTTGTGACTTCAGTTTGGGAAAACTTGTGGCTCGTGAACGTAGTAGCTTCCCCTCTCCCACCCCTCACTCACTTGCATCTTCTTGAGCCTCAGCTGGAAAACTTTCTGTGTCTTGAAGAAATCTCTGCCGTACTCGTCCACCTCACTGGCAATGGCCTCCACGTCCTGGTTCATGAAGTCGCCATCCATAGCTCTGAGAGGAAGATTATGATAGTATATGTTTGTTTTAGTAGAGGTTTTATGGCGCTCGCAACAGCATAAAGTCATATGAGCGGTATATGTGATACATCGTAGTGAAATCAGGCGCTCGTCAAAATAATGAAATCAAAGAACTCAGCATTTTTTGGGGGGCCGACATGCAATTTAAAAAAAAAAAATTTCTTTGCTAAACACCTCTTACTTCCATTTAAAAACAGGTGCTTGTCAATTTTTGGCCGTATGGGGTTATCGGAAACATCTTAATGCCTGTTCATTTGCCTTTCTCTTGGTGAAAAAAATATCCATCTATGTTGAATAAAAGCCAAAGAAATAAATAAACTACCTAAATTGACCCAAAAAACATTTCCAGTCCCTGCGGTCCAAACAGACGTGGCTTACTTACTTCTTCTCACATCTCTGCCACCTGAGCACGGTGTTGAAGAACTTCATGAATGGTTCTAGCGCCACTGCCGTCACTTCCCAGTCTGGGTACTCCGTGCTCGGGAACTTGTACAGCACTTCCTCTTTGTGGATCCACTCAATCTGGGAAAAGAACACAGGAACAGAAAGAAGAGGGGTAGACAAAAAGAAACAAAGAAAGAATAGGGTTAAGAAAAGAAAGAAAGAAAGAAAGAGTAGGAAAAAGACAATAAGAAAAAAGAGAAAGAAAGAGAGAAAGAGACTAAGAAAGAAAAAGGTAAAGAAAAGAAAGAGAGAGAAGGCTGTAAGAAAACAGACTAAGAAAGAGAGAAAGGCTAAAAAAGAAAGAAGGCAGAAAGAAAGAAAGAAAGAAAGAAAGAAGGCAGAAAGAAAGAAAGAAAGAAAGAAAGAAAGAAGGAACGAAAGAAAGAAAGAAAGAAAGAAAGAAAAAAAAGACAGAAAAGACAGAAAGAGAAGGAAAAAGAGAGACAGTAAGAAAAAAGACAAAGGAAGAGAGAGAGAGACTAAGAAAGAAAGAAAGAAAGGAGACACAGATCCCATCCCTCTGCCACTTCCTTCTACCCCCCCCCCCTAAAAAATATTATTAAAATGAAAAAAAAATCATCTCACTCACCTGCTCCTTGACATCAGACAGCCTCCTCTGTACATACTGTTGCATCATGTTCCTCCCTCCTCCTTCCCCTCCCTCCCTCCCTCCCACATTCTCTCACTCCGCCCCCTCCTACATTCTCTCACTCCCCCCCCTCCCTCCCCCATTCTCTCACTCACCTGCTCCCTGACATCAGACAGCCTCCTCTGTATGGCCCTCGTGTCCTGCACATACTGTTGCATCATGTCCCCCCCCCCTCACACATTCTCTCACTCACCTGTTCCTTGACATCAGACAGCCTCCTCTGTACGGCCCTCGTATCCTGCACATACTGTTGCATCATGTTCAGCTCTCCGTAATCGTTGAATTCGTCCAGACGTTTCTTCAGTCGTTCCAGCTCAGCTGTGACCTGGTTCCGCGCCTCGATCACCTTCATCTCTCCGTCTCGCTTCGCCTCCTCCATCAACTGGTTTAGTTTAGTTTTTTAGTTTTAGTAAGGTTTTACGGCGCTCGCAACTGCATAAGGTCAGTTAGTCTTCATAAGTGTTTTACGGCACTTGCAACACAATAAGGTCATATAAGTATTACAAGAGAGTAACATACACAAAAAAGAAGGAGGAGAGATAAGTCATAGTAAGTGTTTAAAGTCACTTACAACACAATAAGGCCATAGAAGTGCCGAAGAATAGATTATGTGTTACAAGAGAGTAACAAACACAAAAAAGAAGGAGGTGAGATAAGGACGACAGACGTTTGATAGGAAAGAAGGAGCAAACCACATCAGAGCACCCGCCAACCACCCACATTAGTTTGTTTGTTTGAGGAAAGAAAGAAGCACATTACGCAATAATGATAATAATAAACATTTATTTAGTGCAAGGAAAAGGTAAGAGAGATAGACAGAAACAGCAAGGAGGAAAAAAAACGAAGCACCTACCAGCAGCAAGGAGGAAATTTTGGAGCTCGGGTTACACAAAAATGTGGCAAACTGCTCAAAATGGAGAAAATACTGAGATACAAAAAAGCTTGCAGGTGGAAAAAAGACAATAATTTCTATGACATACTCATCAAACCAACTGTATCATAGAAACATCCACCCTGCCCCCCCCCCCCCCCCCAAAAAAAAAAAAAAAAAAAACTAAATAAAAAGAAACAAAATCTGGGCCCCTGAAAAAAATATCTTTTAAAATGAATGAATAAATAAATAAATAAGTAAATCAGTACAATATAAAACGAAAAAAAATTTAATTAAATAAATAAATAAAATAAATAAATAAACAAACAAATAATCCAAATAAATAAATAAACAAATAAACAAATCAAAGGCTGGTGTACATAGAGAAGAGAGAGCCTCACAGAGTCGTTCTGATCAAAGATAGGGTTGATTCTCTCGGGCCGGGTGATAAAATAAATAAATAAATAAAGAGAAAGCCTCACCAAGTTGTTCTGATCAAAGATAGGGTTGATTCTCTCGGGCCGGGTGATTAGATAGATAGATAGATAGATAGATAGATAGACAGACAGACAGACAGACAGACAGACAGACAGACAGACAGACAGACAGACAGATAGATAGAGAGAGAGAGGCTTACCAAGTCATTTTGATCAAAGATGGGGTTGATTCTCTCCGGCCAGGTGAGGACCTGTGAGTTGTTCTCCATGTCCTCCGGGCTGAAGAAATACCTGTCGATGAGGTAGACCACGCGGGCCGCACACTCCTGGGGTATAGACAGGGGGGGAGGGGGGGGGGAACAGCTCTAATCATTGTTTTAGTAAGAAACATATGTCGATGAGGTACACCATGCGGGCTTCTGACTCACGGACAACAGGGAGAGGGGAGAAACAGCTCTGATCATAATTTTAGTTTTGTTTTAGTAAGAAATTTCTGCACACTCCTGGGGGCACGGGCAACAGGGGGGGGAGGGGGGGAAACAGCTCTGATCATTGTTTTAGTAAGAAATACCTGGCGATGAGGTACATTACGAAGGCAGCACACGCCTGGAGGTACATTACGAAGGCAGCACACGCCTGGGCCACGGACAAAGAGAGGAAAAACTGATCTGACAATGTCATTTTTCACAGAGGCCATCATTTTACTCAATTGTTTTTGTTGGGTTTTTTCAGATACCATTATTTTAGACCGTTAAATTCACAGAGACAATCATTTTACACCATCATTTTTTCCTCATGATATTCATAGAAACCATCATTTTTCTTTATCTTTCACCCCCGACAGTTCCTACAATACTGGTGAAGTGTACGTGATAAAGCTCTCAGACTCAGATTCCCAACTGCCAAATCCAGGCCAGTCCCAGGAAATTCGGGGCAGTTGGCCAGTCTGGCAATGACAACCTGAACGTCTAACCTGTCCTGGTCTTCTCCATAAACTGCATCTGAGCAATAAGCGAATTTCCTGGGACTGGCTACAACAGCGTAAACATCTCACCTGCAAGTGTAAACTGTCCCAAATTTCCCGGGACTGGCGTCAACAAGGTGAACGTCTCACTTTTCCCCTATAAGTACCAACTGTCACAAATGTCCTGGGACTGGCAACGACAACCTAAACATCTCACCTGCACGTAGTAGTAGTAGTAGTAGTAGTAGTAGTAGTAGTAGTAGTAGTAGTAGTAGTAGTAGTAGTAGTAGTAGTAGTAGTAGTAGTAGTAGTAGTAGTAGTAGTAGTAGTAGTAATAGTAATAGTGGTAGTGGTAGTGGTAGTGGTAGTGGTAGTGGTAGTGGTAGTGGTAGTAGTAGTAGTAGTAGTAGTAGTAGTAGTAGTAGTAGTAGTAGTAGTAGTAGTAGTAGTAGTAGTAGTAGTAGTAGTAGTAGTAGTAGTAGTAGTAGTAGTGGGGGCGTTTCCTGGGACGAGCAACGACAATATAAACATCTCACCTGTATGTAGCAACTGTACCAAATTTCCCAGGACAGACATCAACAACGTGAACATCTCACCTGTACGTAGCAACTGTACCAAATTTCCCAGGACTGACATCAACAACGTGAACATCTCACCTGTACGTAGCAACTGTCACGAATTTCTTGGGACTGACATCAACAACGTGAACATCTCACCTGTACGTAGCAACTGTACCAAATTTCCCAGGACTGACATCAACAACGTGAACATCTCACCTGTAAGTACCAACTGTCACGAATTTCTTGGGACTGACATCAACAACGTGGACATCTCACCTGTACGTAGCAACTGTACCAAATTTCCCAGGACAGACATGACAACCTAAACGTCTCACTTGTACGTGCTGGCGTAGTTTGACCATGACGGAGGTCCGGGCCTTCTCCATAAACTGCATCTGAGTGATGAGTTCCTCGCTGGTCTTGGGCTGGCTCAGAGCCTTGTGCTTCACGTACTCAAATTTCTTGATGATTCTACACAAAGAGTAAATTACACGTACTCAAACTTGATGATTCTAGACAAAGAAAAATTGTTAAAGATATAATTCATTTTTATTAAATTTCACTTGTGCTCAAACTTCTTGATCTGGATCGATAACAACAACTCAAACTTCTTGATGATTCTAGACAAAGGAAAATTGTTAAAGGTAAAGTTTATTTTTATTAAATTTCACTTGTGCTCAAACTTTTTGATGATTCTAGCCAAAGAAAAATGGTTAAAAAATAAACTTTATTTGAGCAAATTTCCCTTTCACTCAAACTTCTTGATGATTCAAACCAGAAGAAAAATTGTTTAAAATAAAATTCATTTGAGCAAATTACACGTACTCAAAAGTTTTTGTGGATTCTACCTGAAGCAAAGTTTTTAAGAATAAAATTCATTTGAGCAAATTTCACTTTTGCTCAAACTTTTTGATGATTCTAGCGAAAGCAAAATTGTTAAAGATAAAATTCATTTGAGCAAATTTCACTTTCACTCAAACTTCCTGATGATTCTATCTGAAGCAAATTTATGAAATAAAATTGATTTCAGTAAATTTCATTTTTGTTCACATTTTCTGATGATTTTAATTGGGACCAATTCTAAAAAAATAATAATTTAATTAATCATGTTTCACTTGAGCTCAAACATCTTAACCAATTTTACTACAGCCAATTTTTTTTTTCAATTTCTAATTTTACTCAAATACCTGAATGGCTGATTCTTATGTAAACCAAGAAAAAAACAAAACAATGAAATAAAATAAACTTCCACTCAGGCTGAAACATCAAGGAGACTCTACCCAGAGTAAATAGTTACCTTTTTTAATACTAAAATTTCCATTTTACCTCAAATGTCTTGGAAGTGATTCTACCAGGTATAAAATCAAACGAAAAATACAATAAAACAGTTATTCCACTTTGGCTCAAACTTTCTGGCAGCTCTAGAAAAGTCCCCACACACACACATACACACACCAAAGAAAAACAAAAAACTTATAAAGAAATGAAAACAAAGAAAAAAGAAGTGATATCATCCAAACATGTGGTGTCCGCACCCAGCGTTCATGGTCTTGTGTTGGTCAATGACATGTACCAACAGACCCTGACACAGATGTCTGGACGTCGCCACCAGCTGACACTTGAGCTCCTCTCAGTCCCCGCTTACTTTTTTCCTTTTCCCATTCCAAAAAAGTCTTTTTTAATTTAAAGTGAGAGTCATTTTCTAACCAAAACGTCCCAAACATCACTTTCCACCACAGTGTTCCCAATCAACCATTTGCAACTAGAAATCCCCAATATTCTTTTCACCCATAAAATGTCACTTCCAAGCAAAATATTTCTGAAAGTTCACTTCCAGTAAGAACGCACCCCCC